CACGCGAGAAGCTGGGAAAACTTTGACATATATATTTTCATTTAGCATGTATGTCGATTGGTCAATATATTTTCGATATGGAATTGTCCCCATTAATTATTCGTTCGACAGCTGGGCACCTTCATGAACAGAGCAGTTCCAGCATCAAAGATTGAAATTTAGTAAATTTGTGGTGTTTTCGCCGGCTGTGCTCTCGCGACGCAGATTAGTTTTTTCAATCCTCGAGGATCCTCTTGCTCCGCTTATCTCTGGTAAGTAGTTTTTCATAATTTTGCAGCGACCTTAATGAAATGTTCATTATCAATCGGCGAAACATGATGTTTCGCAAATTGCAATCATTAGCAATACTCAATGTTTGAAACATTGAGTATTGCTATTGATTCTCGGCTGTGATTTATAATTTGACAGTTATGCAGTGATAGTTTTTTTATTATTATTAGCTGAGTAAAACTTAGAGTATTGCAAGAATCCGATGTTAAAATGATCGTTATGTATCATGTTAAACGCATAAATGGCATAGTCAATGAGAATATGAAAAAATTAAAGCTTGTTTGTAAGGATATAAAATCGTCAAGAATTAAAGCAATTCCGCCTAAATGTCGCTCAAATAGTGATGAAGTAAATATCTGCGATTGGTGATCACCACGCTTTTATATCAAAATCATTTTTTATTTTTCTAGAACGGTGACAAGTGCCCGGAAAAGTATGGATAAATTAGAATTAAATTTGCAATGTCTTATTTGCACCATTAGTCGTTTGTTGTGTTGATTTAATGGAATCGTGTATTGTTCGGCCGAACCACAAAGGATTTGAAAAAGAAAATGGGTAATCGAGAACGTACGTAGAAGGTTTAGTTCACATTGAAGTTGTTTGTATAAACACAAAGTAGTTGGAGTGTATGTGAATACATATATTTAATCATTGTTTAGCCGTGGATGTGCATCGAGTGAAGATATGCTAGGGAAATTAGATGCATTACAGTGTTTCATACGAGACTTGCACTGGGTTTGTACTATATAGTATTTTTTAAATATCTTAGTTTTTTAGACTAAATTTGCGTTTTTTTCTTGTTAGTTTGACGAAAGATCCTTAGAACATCTTGAAAAACGTTTAAAACAAATGGGAACCGATGGGAACAGATTATTGACTACCGAGTGAATGTTGTGTGATGATTAATGTTATTCTCGGCTGCAAATTACAAGTAAGACCTTATTTCTCTAGTCTAAAATATCAACAGTTAGGACGTTTGTTTATTTTCTTTTAGGCACCGAAGTATTAAATAGTGCAGATTTACATCAGTATCGTACACAAATCGATGAATATCTAGAAAAAATCCGTATCGAAGTGTCAAAATCATTAATTTTGAAATTAGTTGCCATAACGGATTTAATATTAAAAAAATTATCGCGCTATTATGAAGGATCATTTTTGCTCCAATTTTATCGTTAACTGTAAGCATTCACTCAGTTTTGTTGTATTTTTATGAATTCTCGATTTGCTAACTCTTTCGATTTTTGGACAATCAAAATAATAAAATAAATATAAAATAGTCAAAATAATTTGTTTTATTCCAGTTTATATTAGATTTCTTTTCTCTTGAGAAAAAGATATTTAAAAGAAAAAGGATCTGGATTTAGTAGAAAAACTTATGTGACCTTCCGTGATTATACTCATCTCAGCAACAACAGAGGCTTCTAATTTTTTTTTCGCTATTTGAACGGTTTTAATCCGATATATAATTCCTTGCGGTTCTTAATGTTGTTATGATAATTTATGTTTTTTTCCTTAGAAACCAGTGAATGAAGTTGGTCAAGCATATGTTGCATTTGTCAATACAAATCTTGAACAAAAAAGGCAAAAAATTAGTGATGCCGCTATTCACATTAAATTTGTTTGAAGCATGAAACAACTTTATCAGTTGTGGATGTCATATTCATTTCATTTTTCGTTTCTCTTCTATTAGTGGTATCGTCAGTAAATGCATCTCGTTTCGACATGGTTAGGCGAACGAACAGAGATCAGTCTTCATTCATATCAATTGACTTGTTTAGCATTATTTGTGAAAGTAAATGAAAAGGATATTTTAGCTGATAATATATTGTGATTACTTTCTTTTTCAGAAAATCTACGGAAACTGTGAACAGCAAGGTGTGCAAGAAAAAGATTTTAATTTGACGACTTATAATGGAATTATTCAAAGATTGTATATAAGAATGTACTGTTTGATATGCATGCTTGTGTTTTTCTACAGTATTTAGTCATGGTGTTGTCGTATTGATCAATGTTAATTTTTAAATCTAGTTATTTATAGAACGTAACTGTGTTGTTATTGTACACTATACATCGATTATAGCTGAGGATGTATCTGTATATGTTTTATGCATGTCAATTCTTTTATTATGACAGTCGTTATGTAATAGAATGAGAATGACATAAAATTAAAAGAAAGAGGAGTTTTAAATAAAGAGTATCGTACTACTACGAAGAACATTTTATTTTATTATGTAATTGTACA